TCCTTCCTTCCTTCCTTCCTTCCTTCCTTCCTTCTTTTCTGTATTTAGGACAGGGTCTATAGGGTCTCACTACACAGAACAGACTCAGTCCATAGTGATCTGGCTGTTTACAGCCTCCCAAGAGCTGGGATTACAGGTGCGTGCAAACGTGCCCAGTCTCAATTGCTGTCCCATCATGCCCTGGGGGCGGGCCAGCACAGCAGGCCTGGGGAGCGAACTCCAGGCGCCTGCGCCTGCTTTCAGGTGCTTTAATCCACTGAGCTATTTGGCTGACCCTATGGTTGATTTCTTGATGACAACCATTCTTTCTTGGTGAGATGGAATCTTTGTTGTTTTAATTTGCATTTACTTATTTAATTTTAAAAGTCAGTAAAGGAAACAGATTCTAAACATGGCATTCACTTTTTTTTTCCATTATAGAAAGAAAAAAAGTATTTAAAGATGTCCTGTCCTGTTTGAACATGGATAGAAGCCGAAAGCTTCTGCCGGATTATGTTAAGCAATTTGCCTTAGATCGAAGATATGGGTGGACACCTGAGACTTCAGGAGACTTAGTTTGGAATTTCCTCATGAAAGTTCAAGCACTGGATGTGACAGCCAGGGATTCAATTCTCAGGAACCAGGTTCTGGATGAAAGCAGCCAAGAGAAACTGCTGCTTGGAATGAAAAATTTGGAAATTCAAGACAGAAAAACCATTAATCCTCTTGATGTCCTCTGTGCTTGCATGCTGTGTTCAGACAGCTCTTTGCGACGTGAAGTTATGTCAAACATGTTTCAGTGCCACTTTGCTCTTCCCCTCCTATTGCCAGATGCTGAAAATAACAAAAGCATCTTAATGCTAGGGGCCATGAAGGACATCGTGAAGAAGCAGTCCACACAGTCCTCAAGGAGGCCCGCGGGAGACACAAAAATGTTTCTAAGTCTTATGAAGATGCCTGTCATCTCTTTTGTGCGTTTAGGACACTGTAGCTTCTCCAAGTCTAGAATCCTCAACATACTGCTTAATCCTGCCAAAGTGAAATCACACAGAATCTTTCTCCATCAGGATTTTTCTGGTCTGGTTCTTCCCCGGCAAATCTCTGATGGCCTGGTTGAGATAACATGGTGTTTCCCCGATGATCTAGAGGAAAGCCCTTATTTTTCTCAAAAACCTGTGGCTGTGGCCAACCTTCGTGGAGATATAGAAATCTTCTGGACACAGTTTGGCTTTTTGATGGAAGTTTCTTCAGCTGTGTTCCTTTTTACTGACTGCTTAGGTGAGAAGGAATGGGACTTGCTAATGTTTCTAGGCGAAGCTGCCATTGAAAGATGCTACTTTGTTCTCAGTTCCCAAGCCAGGAAGAATGAAGAGGCTCAGCATTTCCAGAGGATCCTGAAGGTAAAGCCATCACAGCTACTGTTCTGGGAAGAGGAGGAAGCTGGGGATAGAAGGAAGAGCATGAAGGGCTTTCAAGCTGCCCTCCAGGAAGTGATATCTTCTTCACTGAGAAATCTGTCTGTGGAGGACATGGCCTCTCTGGCCAGGGAGTTGGGGATCCAAGTGGACCAAGACTTTGAGAATGCTCAAGGAAGGCAAGTTTGCTCTAGTGCAAACAGAGCTGGAACAGTGACAGGACAACAAAGGCTTCATCAGCCAAAAAGCTCATCTGAAAGCCAAGCTCGAATGCCTACAGGACAGTCTGGGGCTAGATGGAAGGTCAGGCAGAATTTTCACCACACTCCAGCATTAATGCCTCTTCCAGAAAAATCCTGGCTTTTACCAATTGGAAATAGCTTTAGCCATCCTTTGATGAAAGCTCCTGGGGTTAAGGGCTCCCATTTTGGGTCGGAACAAAGGTCAGTTTGGCTCTCCTCTTTTCCATTTCAAAATATAAGGGATCATAGCAGAGAAAAACATTTTGGTATTCAATACTTACAACCCCCGAGATTTTATTCAGATAAAAGATTCATGGAATTTTCAGGATTGTCTTGGGGAAATCACTTGAATGGGACATTTGGAAGAATACCAAGACCTATTTTTCAGCATGCATGGGCCTGTCCTGAGAGACCACAAACAATAGGTACCCTTGAAATGTCTGGACCAGTCCCTGGCGGGTCACTCCGCTTGTCCCTGGCGGGTCACTCCAGTTCTCTGGCTTCACAGCTGGCAGGAACAGTAGGGAAGCCACAGCCTGGACAAGCCTGCACCTGGGGAACACAGCTAGCTACAGCATCTGGGAAATTCGTGAACCCAACATCCTATATTAGAAATCTTAACCCTCTAGCCTTTCAGCCAGCAGGAGATATGCAAATGCTGGTAAGCTCTGCTTCACAGCAAAGAACTGAACTGGTGACACATGGTAGGTCTTCAGATTCAACTTTCCAAACAAGACCCTCTTTGATGTCTAAGAGCAAACTGTTACCCAGCTCTCAGTTCAAATCCCACCAGCCCAAGCCATCTCAGGCGAAGAACCTTCAGGCCCAATCCTCCCAGCCTGTGCCTTTTCAATCTAAGTCATCTCAGAAAATGAATTCTCAGCCTCAGGCCTCCTGGGCTAATCCTTCTCCGTCCAGATCCACTCAATCCCAGCCTTCCCAATCTAAGCCTTTTCATTCCAGACACAAGTCATCCCAGGGAAGTCATCCCCAGGTGAAGGCACCTTCCCAAAGAGCAAGGAGCAAGAGAACAGGGAAACATTAAAAAGCGTGGTCCAGAAACCTGTGATACATGTCTCTTACCTGGACCATTTTATTTTATTTTATTTTTGCAGAACCAGGGATTAGAACTCAGGCCCTTGTGTTTGCCAGGGAAGCACTTATTCCACTGAGCCATCTCCCCAGTCCCTAACCTGGACCATTCTTAATCATATAGTAACCTGAAGGATACATGCAGCGAAGGTAAAAATCTACTGTCAGCCTTATACAGACAAAACCTAATTAGTTATCATTAAAATACCTGTTAGAGTTGTGTCTCTAAACAAGTAGAAAAATATAAAAGTAAGATAGGATCAAAGTAGAAAAAAAGAGATTTCAACCTTGAGTGTTGGGTAATACATAATTTGAATCTGCAGAATGAGATCTGTGAAACAGCCTCACTTGGAGAAGAATGGGTTAGTCTTTAGTTGCAGATCCATAAAAAAAAAAAAAAAAAAAAAAAAAAAAAAAAAAAAAAAAAAAAAAAAAAAAAAAAAAAAAAAAAAAGGCTCACACTGCCTCTTGTTACAAGAGAAATTGTCTTAAATGTTTGCTGCCTCAGAGGTACGTTGATCACGGTGTCTGGTTCAATGTCAGTTACTGAACACACAGGCTTTTCATACCTACTGAGTTAATTAGGGCACCGTGCTTGGGCCAATAGCCCCACTTTACTTGGTTGATGAAATGCTCTTATTTGATGCTTATAGATAGACTAATGAACTAAAAATGATAAAATTAGTTTTTTTCTGTTAACTTTAGGAACAATTTATGTTTCACATTTAAAATTTTTGGAATAATTAAGAAAATTTGCTTTATTAGACAATCTTTTGTTAGCTTAATGATGACAATGAAAAATGTGTTATTGAGTTAATTTTAGAGGTCAAAATCAAGCTGAAAAGATTAAGATAAGTTATAATGTTCATTAAAAAGTATTGAAATGTTTAAGTTTTTTTTTTTTTTTTTTTTTTTTTGCGGATCGAACCACAGCAACCTGAGCCTGACTGCTTTGTTGAAGCAGCCACTTAAAGAATTGAGCTAAGGGGCAGGCCCCCTGAAATGTTTAAGAAAAGTTAAGATTTATAGAATTTATAATTTTATTAGATTCATATTGTTTTAAGCATTTGGGTAAGTTCTTCAAGTTAACATTGTGTAAGATAAGTATATTAAATTTTAGATATTTGAGTAAAGTTTAACTAGGTTTTAAAGTGGTAAAAATACTAATAAAAGGTTACCTTAAAGGTAGGTTTTTTTTTTTTTTTTTTTTTTTTTTTTTTTTTTTGGTGGAACCAGGGATTGAACTCAGGCCCTTGAGCTTGCCAGGGAAGCGCTTATTCCACTGAGCCATCTCCCTGGCCCCCCAAAGGTAGGTTTTTTTAAAAAAATGTATTTAGGACAGTGTCTACAGGATCTCACTATGTAGATTAGACTCATAGTGATTCTCCTATTTTTAGCCTCCCAAGTGCTGGGATTACAGGTGTGTGCCACCACTCCCAGTCTCAGTCTCACTTGCTATCTTAGAGTGTCCCACGGGCTGAGCTGGCACAGCATGTCAGGGATTGAACCCCAGCTACTGAAATGTAGGTGTTAAATTCACTGGGTTTGGGAATAAAACAGTAAAATTTACAAATTAAACTGAATAGCCCCATTTTTTGAATTTGCAACTTTGATAAAATTACCACTAATTTTAAATGACAAAATAACATCAAATGGTCTTTTGTAGGCTTAAAATAATGCCTTCATAGACATAAAATACATACATTAATGGACACATGAGAACTATGTAGTCTTTGAATGTTGTGGACAGCAGTGATATGTACAAATTGATGGGGGCCAAACTGTAGGCCCTGAAATCATGAGGCAGATGTTGTCTTGCTTCAGGAGCAGGGAAGCTTGTGTGGAAGTGTTATCCTTTGTCTAGATGTCCACACCCCCCCCCAACTCATTCAGTCATAGAACTTTTTCACAGATAGCTGAATCTAGAGCGTGTGATGCTGGGATTAAGGGTATATGGTTAGTAACTTAGTGCACTGATCGTGGGATGTAATTATGGCTATGACTGAGACTGTGAGTGCTACAGCTGCCCTAGGGTGGGTAACCTGCAAACCATGTAGGAGCAGGGAGCCTCGTCTCCATCTCTTGTTTTCTGTCTCCTGCCACTATGAACTGTTAACCAGCTGCTGTGAGTCCCCCTGCCCTGGAGCCAGCTGATTATGGACTGAAACCTCTACGAACTGTGAGCTAAATAAACCTTTGCCTCTTAACTTTTTGTATTTTGTCTCAGCAACAAAGAGAAGTAACTAAGACAGGCTGGATGTGGGCTTCCTGGCTGGGTGGGACCTAATACTATAACCCCAGTGCTCCTGAAACAAGATATTATCTGTGGAGGACAAAACAAAGAATGCAAATATGCAGCTGTGGGGAAGGATCTTAACTTACGTCTGTTGTAGTGCCAACTTTTCTCCTCATTCCACTGTCTCATTCTTTAGCTATTCCAGGAAAAATGCACTCCCAACTCCCACTGCGCTTCTCACTGGCTGACAAAGGCAGGCCATTTGAAGAGGTCTTTGTCTTTGTCCAACTTGAGGCACTGGCCTTTCCGTCCCTCAGAACCTGCAAATTTCTCTGTTTTCTTTATCCTTCACCTTACCTCCCCCATCCACAGACCCACAAATGAGGGTCTGAACAACTTTTGGTATTTGAAAAGAAATAATTAATTTTTGAGAATATTCTTACATCCCAGTGGGTATCCTTCATTTACTTGTGCATGTATGCAATAATGTTAAAGGTTAACAGTGTCCATGTGACCTTTGTTTTCAGTTGGACATTTTTATTTATTTTTTTTTTGGGGGGGGTTTGCAGATTTTTATTTTTGATAGTATAAAAATGATTATTTACACTTCATACATCAAATCTCTGATGTAAAAGTAAAATTGCTCAAATAAAAATAAAACTTTTGCTTTAAATTTTTGAAATGAGTAATTTCAAAATTATTTTTATATTATTTTTATTGTTTTGTCTTTCTGAGACAGGGTCTCACTAAGCAGTTCAAGGTGTCCTTGATCTCACTTTGTAGCCCAGGCTGGCCCCCGGCTTCCAGTCATCCTCCTGCCTCAGCCACCCAAGTGCTGGGAGTACAGGCATGCACCACCATGCTTAGCTTCTCAAGATTATTTTTAAGCATTATTATCTTTAAACATTTCTCTGAATTCTTTTTCAAGATTAGAACTTGCTGGGCTTTTACCGCCAACAAATTTGGTACCAGTTTGGGGCCTGGCAATGCATATGTTCTATATTAAAATTGGGCAATTTGAGGATAATTTAATGAAGTGACTACTTATAAAGGAATGAACAAGATGTGAAGACAGAAAATGCAAAGGGACGTTCCATGTCCTGGAATCAGCAAAATCAGACTGGGAGAGCTGCTTTTCATTATCCTGCTAAATTCATTAACTCTTCTGCTGGAAAATTGGACACTAAAAAGCTGGTATAAGGATGTACTAATGAGGTAAAAACTTTTATCCATTTAAGATGAGCCTTGTTCTAACTAGGTTTCTATAGCTAGAGTTTCCTATTTTTTTTTAAATGTTAAGTTTTTTTTTAAAAATTATTTATTTGTGTGTGTGTGTGTGTGTGTGTGTGTGTGTGTGTGGCCAGCTCAGCCCACCAGGGGGCGGGGCTGGCTGGCATATGGTGCTGGGGGATTGAACCGTGGTCCCTGTGCTTTGCTGAGCTTGTTCTAAGTAGGTGCTTTAGACCACTGAGCCATCTCACCAGCCCCGAGTTTCCTATTTTGTCTGCAAGTTTTATATCTAATTAAGAACTCCTTGTATTTTTCAGAATGTGCTTCTTTCTCTTTGCTCCATAGCTGGATTGGATTTTTTAAAAAATGGCTTTTCCTTGTTGCCAATGTCACTAGTTTATATACCATTCATATCATTCATTCAGCCTCAGTGGAATTTAATTTAGTGTAATTTGGGGGCTCTGCTATACCACTGCTAGGTGGTCAGGCTTCACAGATGAGACCAACTTCTGTGGGTGACAGGCAGAGAGAGTATGAACAGATTGAGACACTGAGAGGTGGTGTGCGTCTGCTAGCAGGAGCTGTTCACTTATCCCCTAGCATCAGTAGACCTTTGGCCCCTCAAAAGCCGGGGGGAAGAAACAAAATCCAAAGATAGGCTTACCTACCACCTAATGTTGCCTCCCACAACTGACCTGAATGAAAGTGTAGGGCAAGAAGTAGGAAATAGTATTAAGGAAAAATGTTTTAGTTCATATTCTTTCAAATATCGTCCACAGTAGCAGGGGTGGTAGGGACAGAGTGGAAGGAATGGCTTGAGGAAGGATGGAATTTTAAGGCACAGGCAGATCACGGAGGTACAGGGAGCTGCTCTGGACGGACCAGAGCCAAAGGAGTTCTGTGGCAGCAGTAGGTGGGTGGGGTATGTTTCAAAAAGATCTTAGTCATTATCTCAGGCATTTTATCAAGTCAGAGTCCATATTCTTGCTTTTCAAATGATTTCCTTTTGATGTTTTTAAGATAGGAACCAGATGGAAATTTCAGAAACTTTAGAGATGTCCCCATCACAGGAATATTTTGCTTTTTGTTCCTCTCAAACTCATTTAAATTTACTCATGTATAGCTTCAGCTGGGGGCAGCCACGGAACAGTGTTGCTCCATCCTTCCCTGATGATGGCTCCTGTTCCGAGGAGTGGAACTGGCCAGCCCTGCACCCCCACTAGCCCCATGTGTGACCTTGGGGATCTGCAACCTTCGGGTTCCTGGACCCGCATTTGCACAGGCTACTCTCAGCCACGGACTGAGCCTGGTGGGGTACCAAAGCAGATAAGTCCTTCCACATGGGCCTCACCTGCCAGGCAGACCTTGCTGTGGGTCTCCCTGTTCACCTGGTTGAGATTTCTCTGAGAAGTGCTGAAGTCTGAGGCTTTTTCTCCTCAGACCTCCTGCTTCCTCCTTTCCTTTACAGGTAGCAGCCCTGCAGGGCA